GGGTGGCGCTCGCTCGCCGCTGGCCCAGGCGGCAAGCGGTGATCGCTCCATTGTTCGCGGGCGGGAGGTGTTGGTGTGGCGCAGCTGCAATCGGCGGGCCGCGCCGGGCCCGCCGCTCGGCCCCGGTGCTCCGCAATGCCGCCCGGGCACACTGAGCACCTCGAGAACTCGCTTTGTGCCGGGCCCAGCCGAGGAGAAGGGAAACCTCCGGAGCCGCTGCCCCGGCCGTCCGCTCGCGCCCGAGGAGCACAGCTGTGCGATGGAGGCCCTTTTTTCTTCAGTCCGTCAGTTTGCGAAATGGTGGCGTCTCTTATACCGGAACGGGGCGGTTTATTGGATTCCATGAGACTGTGCGTTATTTTTAACCTCCGTTCTTCTAAAGCATAGTTACAAGCGTGAGGGCATAAGAGACTGAGAGGTTATATTTCCTACGCTAGTGGAGAACTTCTCGGCGTTCGTATCCGGGTCTCATTGGCTTCTCTGGTTACCTTCGTAACTACTCTGGTTTTTACGAAGTTAATGGCCAGGAGAAATATCTGTTCGAAAAATGTCTTGAAAGTTAACTAGCATAAAATCCTAGTATTGCAAACTTTACAAATCTGCCGTGAAGCCAGAATTGGCACACTTGTAAACAACTGGGAAGTCTGAATTCCTTTTTCACCCTCTTGAAATGCTCTTTAATGTGCCTTTTTATTTACTGGGAACATATGCATTTTCTTGTGAGTGCTGAGGTTGGGAAGCAGTAGTCTGCTGGTTTTTCCTTTGCGTTTCCTAAGATGCAGCTGCATTGTGGTGAGATAGCGCAGGCAAGCCTGCTGTTTGTTCCAAAAGATTTTGGGCTAGGGACGTTTTGTCTCCCTTGTACCATTGTAAAGAATCTTTAACTCTGCTTCATGTTTGCTTTCTGTAAGGGGAAGACTTTGTATTGTCTTTCCACGGTTTTGCAACCTTTCTGTTACACGCAGAGTCAGTACTAAGTCATGTGTACCGAATGTTGTCTTCTAAGCAGAACGTAAGTTGTTGCTGATAGCAGGAAGGTAAGGTCACGATCAGGCAGCTGGATAAGCAGCAGTGTTACTGCCTCAGTTCAAGCACAGTCACTTCGACTCAAAGAGGCAGCTGCTCTCAGTTCAGCTTGATGGTACTGTTAGGTCACTGTTCTGAATAGCCTTAAATCAATACCCATTTGAAAACTTGTGGTAAGCAGGTTGAGCTGGCRTTTTGAGTTGGGAGAGAGTAAGCTGTTGGTTTGGGTCTACATAATTTATATTTCCCTTTCAAACTGAACAGGGCAATCGGAGTAATGTAAGGGTCTTGTCAGTTGTAACTGGAATGTCCACTTGATATTGTAGTCTTGCTGCCTGTCACAAAGCTGTGCATAACATTATTGCTCAGCATTTTAGGGCTGGTTGGCTGCATCCCGGAAGTGGGAGAACTTGTCGGGGAATTGAAGARCCATCAAAGCAATTTATAAACTTAATGGTTACTTTATGGGAGGGAGCAGGTACTGGAAGGTTGCTGAAAGTGCAGCTGTTTAGGAGGTTTTCTTTGGTGGCTGAAGACGTTAGGCATAGCATTATAGAAAGGTGAAAAAAGTTTGATGCATATCTTTATCCCTGAGCAAATGAAAAAGCAATTACTGCTGTTGCACACTGCCTTGGAAGAAAATTTTCTTAAAATAGAAAAGTAAACTGGTACGATTTATGTAGGCAAAAATCTGCATACTAATTGTTATTATCTGCTTCTCTTTCAGATTGAAGCAAGTGAATTCTGATATAACTCAACTTCATTAGAGGGCTTTTTTTAAAAAAAAAGTTGAACCACAGTGCATCAGAGCAAGTTACTGCTTTACTTTTGAGTGACTTACAGGTGCTTGCCTGCATTGCAATAAAGGACTCATATATTGAGCAAGACTTATTTATCTCTTCATTTTGGAGAGTCTAATAAACTGTTATTACAGTTTCTGTACTGACTTTCAAAGTTTTGAAGTCTAAAAAGACATCTTTAAAGATAAAAGCATGAGCACGGCCAGAACAGAGAACCCTGTTATAATGGGTCTATCCAGTCAGAATGGGCAGTTGAGAGGCCCTGTAAAACCCAGCGGGGGCCCAGGAGGTGGAGGCACACAGACTCAGCAACAGATGAACCAGCTGAAAAATGCCAACACAATCAATAATGGCACTCAACAGCAAGCACAGAGTATGACCACCACTATTAAGTAAGTGTTTGTATCAGCTGCCACAAAAGGATTGTTTAAAAGTCATGTATGGGAAGGCATTCTTGGATTCCTATTTGGAAAATGACTTGTGTTGTTATGTGACATGTTAGAAGTGTCCTGTGATGTATGTTTTGAAAAAAAAAAGCTGTATTTCCATGTGCAAGCTTCTCTCCAGCAGTGATTGTTGTGAAAATCCAGTTTGATACTCCACTTTTCTGAGTGTGAGCCACTGTCAGAGGCATTCCACTGGTCACTGGAGTCCTGTGTTCCTTGCTTGTTACAAGTGCTGCAAGAGGGAAGTAGGAGAGTGGGAAGGAACTGAACTGACATTTAAGACCGAGGAGGAAATGCTGCCTAGTCTCAGTCTAGTTGTGTATGCTTTCCAGTTTGCTGCAGTTCTTTCTCATGGTGAGAAATKCTTTAAAGTCGGTTTGTCACTGATCTGAAATAGTAGCATCTGATCTCCCCAGTGTAATGCTCTGGTTTTAATTCATCAAACCCTGAGCTGAGAGGTTATGGTTCCACTGAGATACCCTACTCCATCCAGCTAGTTTTGGAAGTATGCTGGTTTGAATTTCTGAAATATGTAAACGACTTGGACAATATGGTAATGTGTTACTTTTCTTTTTTTTCTTTTGTGGATCCTCCTTCCCCTGAACAGCATTGGCTTTTATTTTGTTAATTATTTGTGCAGGAAGTACCAGCTGTCCTCAGAGAGAGCATGGTGGAACACTCAGATTCTTAAAATCGCCTAACTCGCCCCCTCCCTCCATCTTTTTTCAATGTACTACATGGTTACTCTAATGAATGCCATGAATGAAACGCATCGAAATTCACAGATAACTTTCTGGGGTTGGTGAAGAGAAGGATTTGCTCTCTTCTCTACAGTGGCTTTCAAAAGAGTGTGGGTATCTCAATCTCACTGAGAGCACACGATGTTTGATCAACAAGTAGAGTGATTGCTTGCTTTATTTTTTTACCAGAAGTGTTAATTTACCTTTTCACATTATTTGGGGATTAAGAATGCATGTTTCCTGGGCAAGAGAATTTTCCTTTTAAGTGGTGAAGTATTCTTGTGTGGATTTATTGTAGCCAGTTTCTTTTATGTGACTAAGTCAGTGCTCAGTTTTAAATCTGTTCTACTGGTTTAGTGGCCTAGAAATGGGACTTGGATCGTGCTGGATTAAGATTTCACAAATTTATTTGGCAGACGGTTGATTTTGTTTGCTTGGAGTTTTCTGCCTGTTACGTCCTGCTTAGTTCAGAGAAGACTTGTGTTCATATGTATAGGCATCTTTAGCTTTGAAAAGGTGAAAATACTATATGTTCATCACTACACCTAAAAAAATAAAATGCAAAATCAAAATATGAATTATTTTAAGATCTATTTTGATTTTATTTTGCTATAGACCTGGTGATGACTGGAAGAAGACTTTAAAACTCCCTCCAAAGGATTTGAGAATCAAAACTTCGGTAAGGATGATTGAACTTTAGGCGTAGAGATTAAATAAAACTTTTGGGAGAGGTTGCAGTGGTAGAATATTTGTTCTGACCAAAGGCTAAAAAGTAGTTCAGCTCCTGCTGTTTTAAATGAGGAATTAATTTGTTCTCCAACTGCTTGGAAGTGATGCTTCTCTTCAAACACTCAGAAATGGAGTTCACTGTGGATTTCTTACTTTATTAGTTTTATAGTATGACACAGGCAGCATCTCTGTCATGCAAGGTAGATGAGAAGGTGTCACTGTATACACTCGGGAGCTGTGTTTGGCTCTGAGAAAGCATTTCCTTTGCTGCTGTAGGGCATTGCACGGATTAATGAGAACTCCTGTGTAGTAATCTGTGGTCTTCCTGTAATCAGACAAATCTACAGCTGCAGGTTGTACGACCTGATCTTATGGATGTGCTTTTTTTTTTTTTTTTTCTTTTTTTTTTTTAGGATGTGACCTCCACAAAAGGAAATGAGTTTGAAGATTACTGTTTGAAACGGGAGTTGCTGATGGGAATTTTTGAAATGGGCTGGGAAAAACCATCTCCTATTCAGGTTGTTTGCAAACAGACTACCTAGATGCTGCTTTTAACTTTTATAAATGTATTGAAATTCTTATGCCTAAATGTCTGATACTTATGTCATCATTGGGAAAGACTGAAGCTGTGAACGATAGAACTTGGTGTCGCTTGGGAAAGGCAAGAACTTCTAACCCCCAACGAAATCACTGAGTTGTTCAGTGAGCTACTTAGTGATGGTACTGCCTTACACTTTGGAGAAGTTAACTTGGATTTTCCTCTTCATGCTGGAGGTGTTAATTTGTTAATTCTCTGTTCAGTGAAGTCTTTCACATAAGTAGTCCCAGGGTACTTGTCTGTAAATTTTCCAAAAATCTGAGTTACTATAGGCTACGTACCTTTAGTTGTTAAAAATATAATTATGTCTTTATCACAGTGTTGGCTCTTTTGATTGTAATTTTGTGGAAGAGGAGTAATGGAGATTGTGGGAGAGAGATTAATATCTAAGCAAGTTTATTTTTCTGTACCTCCATCTTTCTTTTACTTCTATGGCTTTTTCTATTAAGAATTCGTCATGTGTAAACTTCGTGGGGGGTGGAAGGTTGGTCTCCGTTTTAATTGGTCTGCCAAGGTTTGCCACTGACACACCTCTGCCACCTTGTATCTTTGAGGCATGAGAAGACTATGGCTTGCTTTTTTTAGAAACAGATTGTCATGATACCATCTTTCCAAAAGGCTGAGATTTATTTAGATGTTGCTGAAAAGGGTAGTAAAATTAAAAATACATGGGGCCTGTGCTTGGATGGCTGAAGATGTTATGAGAAGTATGTTGCAGGAGTACAGAGGTTGGAATCACATGGGCTGAGGTGGTTCTGATATTAAGATGTAGGTGGAGGTTTTCTGTAGGAGGTGTTTGCTAGTGACTGTCACTGTCTCTTAACCTTTTTTCCCCCAGTTTTTCACACTATATTCCTAATGKGTTAGTTTACCTGTGGCACCTGATCCCCTTCCTATGATCAGGCAAAATAAGGACTTCTGAGTGGGATGTGTTGCGCAACTCTTCACTGATGGGTTTAACTTCTTCCTGTTGTGAGTCTTTCATGCTTGTAGTTGCAGGATAGTAATAATAATAATAATGGTCATGAAACAGATTCAATGTGATACTGTCAGTGAGGGGAGTTTAAATTTGGTCAGCCTCTTCAGTGAAGTATGGCTTATGATTAATTGCTCATGCACTGTCTGTCCTTGCATTTCAGGAGGAGAGCATCCCCATTGCTTTATCTGGTAGGGATATCTTGGCTAGAGCAAAAAATGGAACAGGCAAGAGTGGAGCCTACCTCATTCCTTTACTTGAACGGCTAGACTTAAAGAAGGATAATATACAAGGTGAGTTGAGGTGGATCTCATTTAGTTGCAGCCAGGTAGTGGTGTCAGTCACTACATAAGAGACTTGAATATAAAACTGGTTTATGAAATTGGACAGTTTATCTGCTTGTACTTGCAGAGAAAGCTAATGGAGAGTGGTGGAGGGGAGGTGGAATTCATAGAGTTGCTTTCAAAAGTTTTAAATGGAAGAAGGCTTGTGGACTTTACTGTCTTGCCCTGGAAAGTGGATGTGGATTAATAAACAAGTGTGCTGGCTGATACACTTGTGAAAAGGGAGCATCAAGGGCTGAATAACCCTTGCACGAAATTTGCTTTGTCGAAAGCATTTCCTACATCTTGCTCAGGATACCCAGAGTGCAATACTTAAACTATACTTTCCATTATTTTACTTCATAAAGTCTCTGTCTCCTTTGAGGATGAGTATTTAAGGTAAAGAGTGTTACTAGTAACTCACAGTGATGTTTTTAACTTACAGCAATGGTGATTGTTCCCACCCGTGAACTAGCCCTGCAGGTCAGTCAAATCTGTATCCAAGTCAGCAAACACATGGGAGGTGCCAAAGTGATGGCAACAACTGGAGGAACCAATTTGCGAGATGACATAATGAGACTTGATGATACAGGTCAGAGCACTTTCGCTACACTATGGTTGCTGTTTGTGGCTTTTACAATGTGGTCATGGTATTTCTGCTTGTTGCTGTTTGCCTGTTACAGAACAGACTACAGTGTCTTGTTTGCCGTTCATGTATGTTGTTGTCATTCTTACAGAGTGTTCATATGAARCATGGCCATGCATGCTGGAAGGAAACACTGTTTTAATTTTAAATGCCTTAACCTTGTGGGTTTTTGATTTTTTTTTTCTTTTTTCTTTCTTTTTAATCTTCTAACTGTACAGTGCATGTGGTGATAGCTACCCCTGGGAGAATTCTCGATCTCATCAAGAAAGGAGTAGCAAAAGTGGAGCATGTCCAGATGATAGTTTTGGATGAGGTAAGTTGCTCATGTTAAATGTTCTGGGATTTTAACACCAAGTTAAAGCAATGATGTGTCTCGGTGAGTGTCCTTTTGGTACACAGCAATGATTCAAACTTCCTTAAGACACTGTAAGGTCTCCTGCATTTCTCAGTATTTTTGATAAATTGTTTTGGCAGTAGGATTGTTCTGCATGTAAATCTTTTAAGAAAACAGTCTTGGAAGATTTGCCTTTCCTGTCCTTGCCAATGCTGAAGAATTGAGTAACAGTCTGTCCTGCAACAAAGGAATGCATTTCATTTGGTTTCCATTTATAATGAATTGGCTGTGCTTACTATGTAATTGTATATAAAATTGATTTATGAACATCCAATAGCATACAGGCTTCTGAGTGAAAGCGGATATGATTGTATGAAAGCTCTTGGATGACTCTGGTAGGAACCCTGGTAACTGTTTTTTTTTCCCTTCCCCCAAGTGCAGAGCTACCAAAAGATTGAAATCTGAACACCATTATTTTAACTTGCTGTTTATTACTTCTCTTGTTACAGGCAGATAAGTTGTTGTCTCAAGATTTTGTTCAAATAATGGAAGATATTATTCTCACGCTACCTAAAAACAGACAGATTTTGCTCTACTCAGCCACTTTTCCTTTGAGCGTGCAGAAGTTCATGGTGAGTGGAGATGTATCCCTGGTAGGTATTGTGATGATGGTGACGTTGTGCAGGAAGGGTATGAATGGGTGGTGTGTAGCTGTTAGTRCGTGGTCTTTAAATACAACTTCACAGGTTTAAGCTAAATCAGCCTAAGTCTAGGACAGCAGTTTCAAAGCAATTTTTGCCCTGCAGTTGCATTAATGGGAAGTATGTTCAGCTTTTGCTTATAAGGTGCTGTTTTCCAGTTTGTGTATTAGTTATGTCATCTTGTGTGGATTTGCTTCTGGAGGGTGCTCCTGTTTGGCCCGTGCAGTCACCTTCGATTTCTAAGTTATACTTCGTGAAATTTTCCCCATCCTATCTGTTTTCAGCATAGCATGAAGAGTGAGTGGCTAGGTAGTGCATCAATACCTTAGAGGCAGCTAGATGTGCCATAGGGTGGGAACTACTTACATTGTTTTGCACTGAGATCTACCTGCTTTAGCACTATCTTTATTTTTCAGAATTCCCATTTGCAGAAGCCCTACGAGATTAATCTGATGGAGGAGCTGACCTTGAAGGGAGTTACTCAGTACTATGCTTATGTCACTGAGCGTCAGAAAGTGCACTGCCTCAATACGCTCTTTTCCAGGGTAAGGAGTAGGGCTGGGTCAGGAATATACTGGAAGCTTTTTCCCTTTTGCAACCAAGAATGTTTCAAAGGCAACTTCATGAAAATTTTTCTTTGTTAAAATGTGCTATATGTCTAAGGCTGAAAATAAATGCAACTCTGTGTTATAGAACTTGTTTATTTTTTTCCCTTCCTATACAAAAATATATCCTATATAAACTACCAGCAGTGCACCTGCTGTGCTTGCTTTCTGGAAGGGATTTAGACATGTCTAGGATCATTCATTCGTAGAATGCTGCATTTACTGAGAACGCTACTTTAATGTTCAGCTCCAGATTAACCAGTCGATCATTTTCTGCAACTCCTCTCAACGGGTTGAATTGCTAGCCAAAAAGATCTCCCAGCTGGGCTATTCCTGCTTCTATATCCATGCTAAAATGAGGCAGGTGAGTATGAAGTTTACAGTGGTTTATTCTACACCCCACCCCAGGTTTTACTGAGCAGCTGAATTCAGTCTCATGCTTGCTTTAAATTTGCATGTTATTCATAAACTGAAACACGTACTGCTTTGCAATGGATTTGGTTTTAGATACCCACTGCCAACCCCAGCCTTCCTCCATCCCAACCCTCTTTCTGGAGGGTTCTTCTGTTCAGTGTATGTGGCCAATTGGTATTTGAGTACTTCAGGTCTGGTTAATTAGTCTCAGTGTAAGCATAAGCTGCAGCCAGAAGGCACAGTACTTAGTGCTGCTGCCTTGCTTTGGCAGCAGGGTAGAGCACGCAGTGTAACTAACACATGAGAATGGGCCTGATTTAAAACAAATTTCAAAACTCCCAATACTTAGCCTATGGAGTGCCCTGTGTGGCTTTGCAAACAGTAGTCTTGCACTGTGACTGCAGGGCAATCTGAGAACTTGAGAAGGTGGGTTGGATCAAACCTCTTGGTGAAAGCTGTCCTGGTATATGATGACCAGACAAGACACTTGTGGCCTTGGTGTGCCTGGTGAAAAATGCCATTGCAGCTCTACTGGTGCAGAGGTTTTTGTTAATTGTACAGTAGCTCACGCTTCTCTAGCTTTGCACTATTAAAATATGTCAGAAGGCTGAAGTGATGCATGTAGAACAGGAGTACTTTGAAACTTTTTTTCATTTTATATGTAAACTAGTCTAGGTTGCTGCTCATGCAGCTGACGGGCAATGCCAATGTTTGCTGGGCCAGATGCAGAGCAGTAATTAATTGAGCAGGATTAGAAGTGGTGCTGTTACTGAGAACAGAGAGATACACAAGTGAGGTCCTCAAAGTCTGATTTTTATATGCTTTTGATCAGTTAGTAGATGATATTTTGGCAAAGTGCAGCTATGTTTTTGCAGAATGCTTCAGCTTGTTCATGCCCTCTCTAAATTTCACTTAACAGTGATATTACTTAATCTTTGTGCGGCCCAAAGTGACATGTTGGTGAGAGGAGAGGCGTCACGGAGAGTTGACTCATCCCCCCCTAATTCTGAATCGGTGGTGAAAAATGCTTTTTGCTGGAAAAGGAAGTTACTGCCAACCTCAGTTTTCAAGGGAATCAATAAAACGTGAAATTTGGTGAGGGGTCTGGAGGAAGACGGGAGTCAAAATACCAGTTTAAACTTCCTTTATGTGATTCTGTGTAATTGTGACTTTAGATAGTCCTTTTCTGAGGTAGTTTTGATGCTGCCCTAGGAGGTTTTAAAACACAGTTAATTGTCTTTGTTGAAAAGTGGGATCAAGACCCTCCAGAACTAATTCTTTAGAATATGTGGTAAGGAGTACTAAAAATATGTACTGGCATCTTGTTTCAACTCAGCTGTTCTCTAATAAGAGGTAGAGGAGGAATTCACACCGTTGAAGTTCAGTGTTAGTAACCTGTATACACTTGAAAATAACAGCTGGTTGGTTTGTGGGTTTTGTTTTTTTTGTTTCTCTTTGTTTATATGTATGTATTTCCAGGAGCACCGCAATCGTGTATTCCATGATTTCCGAAATGGCTTGTGCCGCAATCTCGTTTGCACTGGTAAGAGTTCCTAAATATTTTCCTGTTTCTAAAGTGTGTGATAGAAAGCACGTTAGCCCAGGTGTCRTAGATCAATTAGCTGCAATAAACCAAAACAAGATGTTTTGGTGAGGTCTCTTTGTCAAGCCTGCGTGTAGGAGGGTGCAGCATCTTTAGGCACGTGGAGTTTTGTGAGGGTGCAACTTGTCRACAAATGATTTTACTGCTGTGTTTTCACACGTGAGGGTTCCCTGAGTTGTTGGGTCATAAACTGTGTATCAGTAGAACTGTGACTATGATCATGTGAAATTTTGCTGATTCTTTTAAGTGTTAATAGCTCATTTTTTTCCAAATGCTTTTGTAGTTTTACACTGGACCATGTCTGATCTGAGTTCTTTGTTATATGGCCTGCTTGGGCAGTACCTGGCAGCGTCTGCTATCTTTACCTAATGTTTGGGCCATCTTAAGAAAAATYGATAGAAGCAAAATAGAAGTAGTTGAGGTAGTGGGATGTCTCAAGTCTGTTGACATTGGCAATGCACAATCCTATGTGAAGGGATCCTTAAGAAGACCTGCTCCAAAATAGTGTAAGGTGGAAAAAACTAGCTCTGTGGTTATCTTTTCTGCAGAGATGTGCAGATCTGGTGGCTTTGGTTGTTCTTGTACTGTTTGTGTTTATAATATATACAGAGCAAGAGGAAGCTGCTACGGGATTGTAGGTAAACTGTCTTTGATACATGGAAAGCTTGTATCYAGAAACTGGTGCAAAGCAACATTAATCACTGTTAATCTTTACTCCCTAAATACTGCCAGCGTTTGATCTCATTGAAATTAACTTCCTTTGTGACCTGGATTATCTTTCAGATCTGTTTACCCGAGGTATTGATATCCAGGCTGTGAATGTGGTGATAAACTTTGATTTCCCAAAGCTGGCAGAGACTTATCTCCATCGCATTGGCAGATCAGGTGAGAGGAAAACCCTGTTTTAGATGCAACTTTGCTGATGGCTGTGATGCTTTTTAGCCTTGAATTGACTTTTGATTTTTAATAACTGCATCTGATAATTACCTTAGGTAGCTTTGATTTTTCCGACAAATTTATTTTTGGGTATCATCTCACATGGCTACCATCACTGAGGATATTATCCGAATAAAGGGTCGTTCTCTTGAAATTGGCCTGATCAATCTAATAAAAAAAAAAAAAAGGCTTATTTTGCTTTCATCTCAGGGGACTTACTATTGCCCCTGTTTGCAGTTTGGGAAAATTCTGTACTAAAAACTCAGCTTCCAGAGTGGCTCAAGCATAGAGATTTATACTTTCTTCTGCATGTGTTCTGAAGTATGTTTCTACCATCTGGGCATCAGCAAAATACGCCCTTAAGAAAGGCAATAAACGAAGGAGCTTAGTGTAGTTGAACTTTGTAGTTCAGGCTTGTTCAAAAACTCTCGAAGACCTTTCACTGGTAATTATCCTGGGACTTTGGTCAGAGAATTTTGAACCTCCTGCATTTTCTTATTCCTACAGCAGTACAAAACAGATTACTGGAAACTGATGTGAAGGTTGTAGAGATCTGTGGCTGAATTTGGTTTTTTCATCGGAGAATGATACTAACTTCACAGTCTGCAGACTTTTTCTGTCAGCCCCTCTGTTAACTCAGTTCCGTTCAGGAGTGTGTTTTTGTTTTTTTGTCAAGGTCGCTTTGGTCATCTTGGCCTGGCCATTAATTTGATCACCTATGACGATCGATTCAACCTGAAAAGTATTGAAGAGCAATTGGGAACTGAAATTAAACCCATACCAAGCAACATCGACAAGAGCTTATATGTGGCAGAATACCACAGTGAACCTGTAGAAGATGAGAAACAGTAAACGTGTAGGTATGTAAGTGCCTTGCTTAGCAGTGATGTGTTGGATATCGTCTATGTGTCAGTTGTTACCACAGGGTAACAGGGAAACTGATGTGATGTGAATGTTTCTGAATGTAAAAACAAGGGTTTGAAGTAGAATTTCAGTGCAAGGAATTCCATGGAYRTGCTGAAGATGTGAGGGAAGAGATGAGTATTTTTAAATTGTTTTAATTGAAATGCTGACCCTATGCTAAGGGCACCAAAAATGGGGAAAAGGGAGAATGGTGTTGGGACAGGCCCGGATGGAGCACTAGTAGTCTTAAGGAATTCATTCTGTATTGCTAAGCTGAAATGAGAAATTGGTGAGGGGCAGAGAGGAAAGCAGTCCTCAAAAGGGTGAGGAGATAAAATGGTGGGTAGCTGTGAGAACAGAGAATCAACRGAAGAGTAAGTGCCTCGCCAGCCAGAAGGATCAGGTTCAAGCAAAATGTGCTGCCTTTTTTGTATCCTTCGGTTCATAGAATTCTTGGAACTGAACAAAAAACAGGGAGTGAAACTGTAATTYATCTTTGCTGCCACTTGATGTCGTCTACATAGTTTTAAAAGAAAATGAGATTTCACTGTTGGGGGACTCATCTAAGTGCTCCTTTTCTGATCTTTGTCTCAGGAAAAGCTGCTGAGTCAAGTCCTTTTATAAGAAGGTGACTTGCCCTGGACTGCAGTCAAGCTAAATGGCTGCAGGATGACATTTGATCTGACCTTAGTTAAGGTGGTGTTGTGCAAGATCCACCACCATACAGTTTGGTCTAAAAAGCATTCTTTTGTATACTCTTCTCAGAGGTCATGAATTAGAAAAATAGTAACATTGAAGCCCCTGAAATTCTTTCCAGGTGACCGACAGTAAAGAAGTGGCTATGGAAGCAAGACTGCTCAATAGCATTAAAATGAGCCAGTGGTTCTTTCTTTTAATTCATCCAAGGACAGCCCTAGATAGTCAAACCAAGACAGCCATAATAAGCTGACTTAAAAGCTTCTGCTTTGCTGGTTGAACCTTCTCCATGTTTATAACTACATAAGATAGAACAGGTGGTGAATGTGGAAGAGGCTCTTGAGTGGCTTCCTAAGGGGAATGCTGCGACCTTGCCAGAGAGCAGTTTGCTGCTTCCTAAAAGACAAAAAATCAGGAGGTAATCATGTTCCATAGGTACAGAAGGGCATTAGCAGCACCTCTTTCTGCAAAGCTGAGGTTGAGATGGAGCTGTTCAGTATGCCTTTTGCCTTTTGAAAACTGTTGCTCAGTTAGTGTGATTCATCACTTGTGTTCTGGTTCTTTATGGAATCGATTGAACTGTGGTGTTGGTGTGGTGGCTGTTTGGTTTTTTGGGTTTTGTTGTTGTTGTTTTGTTTTGTTTTGTTTTTTAGGCTTTGATTACACATGCCAGAAGGTGAAGCCCTATGATCCAGATCTGTGACACATCGTTTCTTTGGGGATACCCTTCTCTTTGTGGGTTTTTCTTCATCTTTTCATTTCGGAACTATGAAGACTAAAGAGCTTGGCCTTTTTTTCTCTTTAAATTTGGCAGCAAGGAAGAAAGAAGATAAAAGGAGGAATGTCTTTTTGTTTTTCCACTTGTTTGCACTGTGTGCTGATTGAACATTAGTTGCACTAACTGCTGGTTTTAAATTTTGGTTTCTTTGGGCGGGAGGGACAGCAAGGGAAGAAGAGAAACCCTGAAAAGAGAAGAATCTTGATGAACACGAGCTTGTCTGCTATTTCAAATTCTTTAACCATTGAATGAGTGCATTTCAACTTCTCCCTGGTTACTCATCTGTTTCTTAAGCTAAAGAGCTTGTTACTTATTCGTGCAAAGTGCCTTATGCTATGAGACCATTCAGAATATCACCTTTCCAACACAGCCCAAGGAATCAACATCCGTTTCTGGTTTCAGGTCAAAGTTCCCCTCTCTTCCCCTTCTCCTCCTTCCCATGTACTCAAGCCCAGAGCTGGGAGGTGAAGTGTATTGGTTATTGGTAATACAACTTCTTTCTTCAATTTTTTTTTTAATGGAGGAGTTGATATGCATCTGCAGTTCACCCAAACTGTAAATATCTGTATTTAAAATTAAACCAACATGAAATCTGGGCTGATTAGGTGCAGCATCATAGCTCCAGAAGGAAAGAGTAGCCTGTGATCCTTTGCAGGAGCCATAAGAAAAGCCCTGTGCTCTAGCAGAACACTAAAGACTGGTTTCCATGAGTCTTCATTAGTAGTTACAGCACTTGATAGGTAGACTTGTTTCAGAGCCATGGCCCTCTTTCTTCTGGTGCAGTGTGTCCCATAGAAAATCAGATGTGTATATTGTACAAACTTTGTAAATATGATTTTTTTTTTCTGTTTGGGTTCATATATAACTTCTTTTATGATGAAGGTTGCTGAGGTTAAAGGGATTAGACTGATTATGGGAGCAGCTAAAGATGAGAGGGGCTCAGTTTTGTGCAACACTAAACAATGAGAAGTGCTCTGACCTCTGTGAAGTGCAGGCCTCCACAAGTGTCCCTTGTTGGGGTGGATTTGCTCTGGTGCTAGCAACACTGTCCTGTACTGCTCATATGGAAGAGATCACTTGCAGGGCTCCAAGGCCTCCAAATCCGTAGCTCAGCCTTTTGGGAGATGCTCTTTGATTTCCCCCTTAGAAACTTCAGGAACATGACAAGCTCTGAAGGAGTCCATGACCTGTGTTCCACCATGGTGTGAGGGAAATCCAGTGGGTGTCGCTGAGCAGTATATGTGTAAGGTGTGGATTTGGGTTTGAGAGACCATAAAAAAACAATTTACATGCATAAACTGACAGTTCTGGAGCTTTGTGGAATTGATTCACTTCCTGCAGCACTGCATTTTCTGCCCAGAGTGGCCTCTGTGCAGAACTGTGAGCAGGTAAGGGCAAACCCCTGTTATTGTCAGAAGCTGCCGGAAGCTGCTTGCCATCTACTCTGGTTTGCCATGAGTTGCTGTCTGTCGTTTTGCATAGTATATTGTTGAAAAGTGCTTTCTGGACAAGTAGTGTTGCTTTAAATTGTGCCCCTCCCAACATGCTTGATGTTTGGCCTGATATACAGGCAAAAGGAGTGAGACAAATCAAAAAATTACTCTTTTTTAAATCCCTTATAGCCTGTTAACCACCATTGTCAGGAGGCACCTGGATGAATGCGATCCCTTTTGCTCAGTCATTTATTGCATATACAGATGCTGCACTCACACCATGCTTGCTTACCTTTGAGGCAGGATTTAATTGTCTTAATTTCTCCCCATTGTGACCCTTTTTTTGAATTGGAGTRAAATTGTTTGGAATCACAAGGTGGGCTAGCCATCCATTTCCTTGATGATGAAAAATAGAAGCCAGGTGCCTCCTGACAACAACTTTACGAGATTGAAAGGTTTGTGTGTTCGGGATGTTTTTCTTCTTTTTGTCAGCAGTGACTCCATAATTGTAGCAAATGCTGCACTAGAGTACAAACTCAAGAGCTTGGTCTCTGTGAGCCACATAGCTTACATCTGACTGGCAGGTACTAAATGTAAACAATTTTGGGGTGCTTTTGGGGGACGAGGGTGGGAGCTTATGGGTGGTAACTTTGACCAAAAGTAAAATCTTGCTCCTGTACTGCAGCCAGCTTATGATTTTCCAGACAGAAGAGGGATCATTTTAATGCAGCAAAGACATGAAAATGTAAATAAATTTTGTATCTCACCAGGGCATGCACATGTAACAAGAACAGGATAGTGATGTCAAGTCAGGTGTGTGTGCTCTGCTTGGATTTGTGGTAGGTTAGCCTGGTGCCATGCATTGATGGTCCCTCTTGAAGCACAGAACTTTTGAAAGTATTACTTTAAATTGGCCTCTCATTGAGGATTGGCACTTACCTAAACTACCAGGGGCACCATTTTTAGGTGGCTTCTTGTCAAGAAGGAAGCAGCCTATTTTTGGTGCTAGTAGGCTATCTCAGATGCGATCTTGCAAATGGAAAGATGCTCCAGAAGACTAGGATAATCCTAGTTTTTTTGGGTTTTTTTTTTTTTTTTTTTTTTTTTGTTCTGGGGTTTTGTTGGTTGTTTTTTTCCCTACCCAAGAGTAAAGAGCGTTTATAAATCT